TTTGAGCAGAGAGACTAGGAGTTTACCATGTTTCGTTTAATCTAAACTGATAATTCTTTAATTTTACTTTTAGCACTCAGTGTTGAAACACGAAAGAGTATCGCTGCGGAGTCCTACTAAGGCAGCCCAAAGGAGAGTTCTGCTTCGTTCTAAGTGTGTGCCTGATACTCAGTAAATACAACCAGGGGGCTATCTCCACCTTAAAAAATAGAAAGAGGAAGCCTGATTAAAGTCAGTGTTTTAATTTTAATGTCTCATAAAACACTATGAGTAGGTGTAGCAACTATTACTTTTATAACAGTAAAATTTAAACAATCTTGGGGGTCCTTACTTCTCTGTGGTCCACTAAGCTGTCAGGAAACACACTTAACTACCCACCATTGTCTTTGCACTTCCTATGGCTTCACCAAAGAATCTCCACTCAGGTGAAAAGGGAGATTCTTTTTCTTTTTCTATCTTTCTTTTTTTTTTTTTTAAGTTTAGAAAGATTTTCTTACTAGTCAATATCACCAAACCCAGCAGTTTTATAAAGTCTAATTAAAACCAGAGTGCCTCCAAGACAAGGCAATTCAATCTGTATGTTACATTTTTATAATAATGCACGTGTCCTTTAGGTAGCACTAAAAAATTTAAACGCTCAAGATACTAAAATCTTACAGTTTTTTAACGCTAACAACTTAATATTTTTAAGTCAAGATGTAGGCTTTTATTCTTATTTATTTCTTTATTTTTGGTAGCAGGGATCAAACTCAGAATCCTGTGCTTGCTTGCCAGGCAGGCACTTATGCCACTGAGCTATATTCCTGGTCAAGAATTTTATTCTTATTTCAATGTAGCTACAGATTATTACCAATCACTTAAGGTATACGTATAAACTGAAGTTAACAGCGGTAATCATTTCTTAAAGTACAAAATGAGCCCGGCTATTTTTATTGGAGAATAAATCTAATTTTCTGTAGTTTTATTTTAATGCTGAAATGTTTATTTTATTACATGATTTATTAAAATTAGCATATTTGTCATATTTTCTTTTGCTAAATTTTTATTGTACTGCCTTGAACATATAATATTTGAGGGTTTCTCATATTTTACTTTTCCTATCATTCTTAATGAGTTCATGTACTTTAGTGAAATCAATAATATATAAAGTGGATGCTGCTGTTATATCATGCATTAACAATTAAGTCACTGGATTCCAAATTCTGTACTCATTTATTATATGATTCACTGCATGGTTAAATTAGATTTATAAAATATAGATGCTTGAAATACATAATACATGAGCCATGTGATATAAAATGATTTAGTTTCTTTGCAATAACCCTGATTTCAAATTCTCTAAATATGTAAGAATGCAATGAAAGGGGCCGGGGAGATGGCCTAGCAGAATAAGCACTTCCCTGGCAAGTGCAAGGACCTGAGTTCAATCCCCAGTTCCAAAAAAAAAAAAAAAAATGCAATGAAGAAATGCTTTATCTCACTGATCTAGAAGAACATGTTGGTCCTCTTTGTATTCTCCTTCTGGGGATTCTTCTATTTTGTTTTATTTTTTACAGTACCAGGGATTTACCTCAGGACCCTGCACGTGTCAGGCAGGCACTTATTCTACTGAGCTATCTCCCTGGTCCTTATTCTTGGTTTTGTAATTAGCCAGCAGTGTGAAGAAAAAGAATGTCTCACCAGTGTATTTACTAAAAGTATCCCATTACTGAGAAGAGGTTTGGTATTTAATATTATTTTGTTGATGCTATACATTGAACCCCGGGCCTCATACAGGTTGACATATATCCTACCACTGAGTTACACTCAAGTACCTTTTTAATTTTAATGTTATATGATTATACCCTGAATTTAACATAGTTATAGTGGCTTTATCTATTATACTTTATCTATTACACTTTTTAAATATGAAACTTTCTTTTCCTAAAACAAAGTAATTAACTTTTTACTAGAGAGTTCAGGTATATCCAAGTATATTAAAAGATCTTTAAGAAGATAAAAGTTCTTTATGTCTCTATCATTATACTTTGTATACATCTAAAGACAAAAAAAAAGCTAAGAAAATTTTATTTTGAGAAACATTGTTACTGTAGAGTACCCAAAATTGCTTGAAGCTGTCTTTTGGTTAGTATTTACTCATTGTAAGCTCAACTTTGTTTTTAATGTTTCCTGGAATATGCTGGGCCAATGAGCCAGTGGGGGCAGGCATTCCTAGTCACCTAAAGCCTTCTGATACCTCCAGTCCTTTACTCTCTTAACACTACCTATCCATGGGCTCTATCCCTAAAACAATATATTGGTAAAAAATACATTTAAACATTTACATTAAATGTGAAAATAAACTTATTTTTAGAGTAATTCAATTAAAATAATCATGAGTTTTCCTTTTATATAATATTCAATATAATTTCCAATATAATTTCAAAGAAGGCACAGCACAAACCTCAAGGTTTCAGTGATAAAATAACGTCAATTTGTTTTTCATCCACAAGAAGGAAAGTCAGGTTTATGCCACAATCCCAACCCCAATCACCAAGAAGGCTTTTCTTTTTAAATGACTATATTAACTATATTGTAATGGACCAGGTGTCTGTAACACAGGCTTCTACTGCTTCTATTCAGTTGTTTCTAACAGAGGAGGTTCAACCTTTTTGTCTCTTTGCCACCTTGTAAAGTGAGCTATGTAAATCTGTTATGTGAGACACAAAGTTTCATACAGAAGCTTTAAAAGTTCACTCAAGTAGAACACTCTTACTTGAAATGAGGTCTTATAATTATGCAGTTCCAGCCCTAAAACGAAACTGAAGCAATCTTGAAAATGCAAGAGAAAAATTATCAAGGTAATGATAACTCCCAAAAGGGAAAGGAAATACGGAAACAGCAGTGGGCTAGAGGGTCCTCATAAAGATTCTCCACATGCATTCTGACTTATGATTTGCGAACCCCTGCAAACATGATATCATGTCAATAATGAGCAACAGGTGGTAAAATGGACAAAATGATATTGCTTATCTTTCTTGTGCCTTTCAGGAGTCATCTACAACATTCTCACTGAAATGACAATTGTAAACCTTCTATAAGATTTTCAAATAAATCATTATTATATTCTTGTGTCCTGCTTGTACTCCCAAACAGGTATTTGCTCAAAATCTCTCTCTAAATTCCTTATGTAAATTTACATACAATTTTGATAGGCTTTCCCCTGAGAGCGTATAAGAATGCCTGAAAATACTATAGCAATAAAATAATCCATTTCTATACAAGTTGGCTGCATAATTCTACAGTGCTCAGTTCTGCAGTGGGCATTTGGCTTGCTCTGATTGCTTAAATCAAGGGTACACTGCTCACTTTGCATAATTCAATAAAGTAATTTAACTAAATTAAGAGAACATGAAGATACGCAAGACTGAAAATAGGTTGTCATAAAAAAAGCCAAAATTCACTTGCAAACACAATAAATCATCTATTGCATAAATAAATGTCAGAACAATACATTAGGTACTGTTCAAATTTTTCAATTCTTTAATTTATTTACTTTTACTAAATAAGGGCATGATAAGCAGAAACTCTCTCCAGGTTTATAACCATATCATTTGCTTCCTTACTTTTTAAATTGGATTCAATGTGGTGATAAACTTAAAAATAGTAAGTGTATGAGTCTTCATTTAGTAACAATGTTTGGCTTTGTTCACAAAACACGTAAGATTAAGTCCTCCATTAAGTAATACCTTTATCATTTTTTTTTTCCTGTCTATATACCCAGCCTCAACTGGCTACACCTAAATTTAAAGTCAAATCACCTTTGGTTTAGAATTTCTGGGTGGGATCTGACTTGCCAGTCACTGTATAGAGGGGGTGGGTGGCTGGGAAGAAGGGGTAAGTGAGCCAGGATGTAAACTCGCCCAAGCTGCCAGTTATTTTCTTAAATCGTGACAGCGTCAGCTGATGAAAGAAGTTAACTCATCTCCACGTAGAGGGCTGCGGATGGCCTCCATCGAAATCCTCTCAAATGTCACAGCAAGGGTTGCCAGTGCGTCTGTGACTCACTCTAGCTCTCTAAAGGGTGACTGGAGGCGGTAATCGGCGGTCAGCGCGGCCTCGTCCCCGGAACAACCAAGTTGGACGCGACCCTAGGAACTGCGCTCTGGGCAGGAGCCGCTCTCATCTGGCTCCATTCAGATCAGACGGAGGAAAAAAAAAAAAAAAAATGCCTAGCAGCCCTGGCCTCTGGCTCCGAGTATAGGAATGTCCGGCTTCTCTAAAACTAGCTCCATCTTAATAACCCATAAGAAAACTCTCCATTGGATGCTATACTTCAGCAGTTTCAGAGCTGTCACCTGAGAGGAACCCTGCACCCTGCAAGGTCCCTGCGTGTTAGACTTTGCTGGGTGCTTAATTTTGAAATGAAACGTAACCAAATGCAACGAAAACATGTTCTGCATTAAAGTGAAAGCTGAAGCACAAATCAAATGGGCAATTTTATGTAATCAGGAGCAGTTCAACTTCTGCCGACTGGTGCCGCCAAACAACCTCCCACTCACGGAGAGCGGGCATTTATAAATCTTACATCTTCCTGCCTCCTCCCTCAAATTCCTTAATGGACCATTAGTAATGGGATCGATCCTAGTTACTTTAGTAACGATACAACGCAAAGGCACATCTGCCGTGTTTACCAGTGCCAGGAACAGCATTCAAAAGTTGAGAAGGTAGAGGCAGCACTTTGCAAACCTTTGGGGCCAGGGGATAGGGACTCCGGGAAGCGTGAGAGGGGCTACAGTGGGAACCTGGTGTGACCCGAACTCCTGCGCACTCACCCAAGCAAGTCGTCCCTTGCCCCTCCGAGAGGTGGGCAACGGACCTGCTAAGTTAGTGAGCAGCTCTAAACCCCGGATCCCTTTCCTGGGAAAGCCCAGCCCGCTTCCACCCTTCTCGGCCCCTACGAGCCCTCGCCCCGGAGCGGAGCGCGCGAACGCCTGGGGATGCGAGTGCGCAGCACTTACGTCTCGGAATTTGTTCCACTGTCCGACTTCCTTGTCATACTGAGAGATTGTGGTGAGCCATTGTTTATCATCCAGAAAATTGCCGCCGTCCGACCGCCCCCCGGCCGCAGCCACGGCCGCGGCGGCTGCAAGAGCCTGACTGCACCAGGCGGCTGCACACGCACACAGAACGGCGGACACCGCGAGCATCTGG